TTTCATTCATTCATTGTTGCACATTTTCCTCCCTACCCGTTCATTCGCGCTTTTTAAAAAAAATTCATTCTTTGTTGCATAATTTCCTCTCTCTCCTACTCCTTCCCTGGTCAACTTCGCTATGTACCTCTTATTCTGGACTGTTGTCATCCAAATACTGCCTAATCATATGCTCCTTTTAAACCGTTATTTCCTTCATCTGTTTCACTGCACAAAATCAAATGTAGCAATGGTTGAGTGGAAGACCAGTTTGCTTTGTAAACTTTCACATAAATCAGAATTTTGTAAACATATTTACATATATAGGGAACTCTGGTGGCATGGTCAGTAAGAAGTCATGGCACTACCCAAAAGGTGGCACCTCTCGGCGGGTTCGAATCCATCCGCTGCTCTGTGAATGATTCACAGCCTCCCAGAAAGCAAGCCTGCTGGAAGGTCAGCTACCTGTCAGCTCTGTCTTTGACAGCACTTAGTTTGAGTCACCCTGCTCCCCGCCATATCCTTTATTTACCACCTCCAATCTTCTCAGCTCCCCTCCCTGAGCCTACCCAAGCCGGAACTCACACCCTCTGCAGATGCTGTCCAGTGGTTCCCGACCCCTAGCAGTCCTGAGGCCGGAGCAGACCTGGCTCATCCTTCCCGAGGCTGCCATCTTCACGGGAGCCGATGGCTTCGTCTTCCTGCTGGGCTGGAACCTGGTTATCCACCCAAGGCCTAGCCCACGGGGCCACAAACATCCGCAACCACTAACCGGCCTTCTTCTGTCTCTTTCACGTCCATGGGTGGCTGGCCTCTTCTGCTAGGCATGTTTTCAAGGACCACTCATATCAGAGCTCATCTCTCTTTCCAGTGTGCCATCTGTATAGGCCACACTGCGTTCACCCCTCATTTGTGGACGGGTTGTTTCTACCCCTTAGCTAAAGTTGAAGGGATGCTACGAATATTACTGGGCAAGATTTGGTGTCAGTTCTGACTCCTGGAGACCCTCCACTGCGTTCGTTTCTGAGGCTGTCATCATTATAGGAGGAGACTGCGCTTCTTTCTCCCACAAAGCAGTTGGCAGGTTTGAATCTCTGACCTCTCAGTCACATCATGTACTACTCCACCAGAGCTCCTATAAAGGCACAGCTGAGATTATGATCTCCATTTGGCAGATGGAGAAACCAAGGCACAGGGAAGCTGATAGCTTTGCTTACCTATCTAAGGTCATACAGTTCAAAAGTGTGGTAGCCATGGTTGAACAAGTGTTTAACTGTAGCTCCTGTGCTGCTCCGTGGCCCCCAGACTGTGTCCAGGTCTCATGAGGTCCTTGGGGCAGCTGAGCCTCTGCCTCTGGCCTGAGTCCACCCTTGCCGAGTCCTCCCACTGCTACAGGCAGGCCAGGGTGGCCAGCGTCCCAAGCCTTTGTCCTCATAAGGAAGCAGGGCTCTGCGTAGGAGGCAAGTGGGGAGGCCCAGGCTCGGCATGGTGCTCTGAAAGGGCCACACGTCTCCTCACTGGTGGCTGACCACAGGGCTGTGTTGTTGAAGGTGAGGAGATTGATTTATCAAATGTGACAGACGGTAAGGTCACCCAGGGAACAGAAGACACACTGCTGCCTTTCCATGAGGCTCTGTGCTACATGGCTTTATTTATATACAGTTTCAATGACCGGAAGATTTCAATTTCACTAGAACCAGTGGAAGCATCTGTGGCTGGGGCCAGGCGACACTGCCAAGAAAGAGGAAAACGGAAATGGAGCTGGCCCAGGCCCAGGGAGATGGCTGAGGACCAGGGTCAAGGCCAGGTATATTGGGCTGGAGTTGAGGATTTCTGCAGGTGGGTGCTGCAAAGTCTTGTGCCTAAATCCAAAAGGTCAGTGGTTCAAATCTCCCAGCTGCTTTACAAGAGAAAGATGGGCAATTGTGCTGCGTAAAGCCTTAGGGCCTTGGAAAGCTGATTGAGGGTCCTAAGAGTTAGATCGATTTGACAGAAGTTAACTTGGTTTGTTTTTCTCCCTGTCATCCCAGCTTCATGAAAGAAGGGAAAGGAAGAGTGAAAAAAACACAAAATCAAGAAAACCCAGGTAATTCTGGAGCTGATTCCCCTGTGTCTGAGGGTAGGTGTGGACGTCTCATTGTGCAACTGGGGGTGAGCCCCAGCACGTGTGTACATATGCTCATGCCGGGAGGGGTCTGCCCAGTTCCCCTCAGCCCCCACTTTAAGCAGAGAGCTGAGCCCCTGCACCAGGGGAGGTTGGCAGGCCCAGGTCCAGCAGGTCAAGCGATGGCTCTGGGCGCTGCCATGGGAAGGGCAAGGAGAGGCAGTTGCAAGAGAGGGCTCGGATCTCAGTGGGTCTAAGAGGGGCACTCCTGCAACACATTTTGGTTTTTAAGCAAAACTGCTTTTTACCAGTGGGATTCCTCTAAACACATTTTGTTGGTACTGAAAAGTGCAAGACAACTGGCATGGAAGCTCACTGCCATTGTGTTTCAGCTAAACTAAATGGCTGATTTCTCTGATCGGGTTTTCTTTTCCTCAATAAAGTCTGGTTTGTTTGTATTTTTTAAGATAGGGCAGTTTAAGGAGGAATGGGGTGGGTGGGGATCTCATGGTCAGGGAGGTCTGGGAGAAAGCAGGAAGTGGCCACCCACAGAGGACCCCTGAGGCTGACCTCACACTGGAAGATGCTGCCTCTGGGACCTCATGTGGCCAAGACTGTGACAGGGAGTGCCAGCTAGCAGCTGAGGGAGTATTGTGGCACACCTGGGACCCAGCGCCAGCCAGGAGCACCATGCAGGAAGCTGGAGAGCCCTGGACGGAAGAAGGTGGGCAGAGGTATCCACCACCTTCTGCCCTGAGCTGGGAGCACCTGCCTTCGTCCTGTCCCTCCCCATGTCTTCTAGGCAGAGAATGTGGGAGGGGTGTGAGAGGCCCTCAGGGCCCGCGCCTATGGCCCGCCTGGAGAGCAAGCCTACAATCTGTCAGCAGGTTAGACGTCCATGTGATGTGCTGTTTTGACTACATCCAATCCCAACTGCTGCTTCAGCCATGAACGGTCTTATAGCTCATGGTGGGAAGGGGTCCCATCTGTGTGAAGTGGATTCCACTTGTAAGTCCCTGCCACCTGCCTCTGACATCCAGGTCAACTGGTCAGAGACCCTACTATCCAGAGTACTTGACCTTTCTGCACGTGTCAACTTGGGCTTGACCATCAGCCAACTTCCCATGAAGTTCTCGGAAGACACTTTCTTGCTGGGAGGAGGTGGGGCACATTCCTGCCTTCCTGGTCCACTTTTAATTGAACTACCAGCTGTACACCTGTTTGCCGCTAATGTTGTAGGGGAATGGAGGGGTTCGGCGGTGAGGTGGCCTCCCTGAGGATGGAAGGACAGAGAGGAAAGGGCTGTTGGGCAAGTTGCAGACACGCCCTGAGGCCATGGGTTCCCTTCTCCCCACACCCAGAGTGCCCCATTCAGCCTCTCATGACTACTTTGGGGTGCTCAGGTGGCCCATGTAAAGTGAGTGATCTCACCCTCCTGTGCAGCAAACATGTCATCTCCCAGCACCCCCTCACCCCCCAGAGAATCACCTTCTGGCACGGGACAAGGTGGAGCCCTGATCCTTGGAGTTACACTCCAGTATCAAGTCGCAATATGTCGCGAAGGTGGTGGAATGTGGGGAAGGACAGGTGGTTTGCCCAGGGAGCAGGGGTCAGCGGCTGGGGACTCTGCTGACTGGCCTGGCTTTCCCTCCACCTGTTTCCCTCCCATGCTCAGTGCACACCCTGTTATCTCCCAAAACAATGAGGGTCAGGGGTCAAAATCCGACAGCATTTGCCTTGCCTGGCCCCACCCCACTGAGCAAGGACCCTGGGCCCTCAGGCTCAACGGATTCAGGCTTGTGGATGCTGCACCCGCCAGACAAATGAGACCACGGAGACATGTTTCCCTTGACCGTTTATTACAGAATGAAGAAAAAAAAAATCACACTGTCTGTAAACAGGTACAAGGTTCCCATAAAGCCAAAACACAACGTGATTCCTTAAAAGGTGATTACAAGAAACCGGAACACCAAGAAAAGTTCATAGGACAGTGATGGTGACTGTGGGTTTTCATTAAGGGACACTTAAACCTTGAATACACATGACAATAATTTCAGATAGAAATCATCAGAGAAACCCCAAATCAACTATTAAAGTTCAGACTTATCCTACCCCCCCCACCCCCGACCCCCGTCTTACAGCAAAACAAAACACTGAAAAGCCTTAAAGCAGGGACAAGGCACCTTTGCCGAGAGGCGCTCATGTGGCGGTGGCAGCAGTGGGTCCTCTCTTGCCGCCACTCTTGAGGCAGACCACACACACAGCCCTCAGCTCACACTAGCTCTTCATGGGCTTTTTTCCCCGTTTGAAAGCACTTTCCAGTCTCTAGGTAAATCTCCTTTAAGGGGCCCTTTGCGTCACATGGCTGCTGCTGGAACATTCTCATCAGGAGCCAGGAGAGGCAGAAAGATTTGCAAAAGACATTCAGGGTCACACAAGGCAACAGCCGTTTTAGCAAAAATACAGAGAAATGGCCAAGTGGTTTTGTACTTGGCCTTTGTCACTTTACATGGCACTTCTTGGTCCCATCTACACATCCTCCATGGTGGTACCAGAAGTGCGTCAGCCATGCGGATGGACAACATGTCACACAAGTCAGCAGGACAAGCCTGCAGGTTTGTAGAAAAAGTAATCATATAGGATCAACAAAACTCTACTGAAAGAGAAACTATGTGGTCACTTTCTTTACAAAAACACAAAGTGACGTATAAAGACTTCTATCATTAATGTTTAGGAAAACACGGTACAAAATTGTCAGCTGTGTACAGGTAACTTGAAAAATCGCTAACTTTCTACTTGGTCATAGGCAGAGGGAGGGGTGTGTGAGGTTGACAGCAACTGCACTGTGAGGAGTGGCTTGCTTGCACACGTGGCCTTGGTTGGCTTGGGCCACGTGTGATTTTGCGACAGGGTGACATTACAGGGGCCTGTCTCTGTTGAGAGGTAAAGGCCCGGTCTCCTGATCGTCACTGTCACCCGGGTTTAGGGCATTCTGGGGAGCAGCAGCATCCTGCTCCAGAAGGAAGTCCACAGACCTCTGGCTGCCCATCCAGTCCTTGGAAGGACTCGCGTTGGGACTGCCCAGGAGGGCTTCAATGACATCCACCTCAGAGGCCGAGGACAGATTGTTTAGTAGGGGCCGGGCCACTGGGTCATAAGATGCCAGCTCAGTGGGTAGCCCTGGTGACTGGCTGGCAGCAATGGTGGAGGCAGAAGCAGCGGCTGCCATGGTGCTTTCATAGCTTGGTGGTGGCTCGATGCCCTGGGCAGGACTCACGGGACTGAATGGGCCCAGGCCCTGCTGGAGGGCCTGGGGGATGCTCAGCACCAGCCCGGGGCCCTGTGCTGGGCTCTGTATGCTAGCCAGGGCAGCAGTTGCCGTCTGGCTAGGTGGCACCCGTGTGGCCATCGGACTAGGGGACGCAATCGCCTGCTGCGTGGGGAATGCTCTCAAGAGCACCCCGGCGGCACTGCTAACAACCTGCTGCTGGCTTCCATCATCTGCCTGGCCTAGAACCGGCTCCCAGGAGGCCCTCAGGCCGCTAGTGGGCAGACTGGAACGCTGGAGCTGCTGGGAGCTCAGCGACTGGCTACCCAGAGGGCCGGCAGAGAAGCCAGCTGGGGGAGCCCTTGGGGGAGCTGCCTGGAGATTCCGTAAATGCTGGCTGGATGTAGAGGGTACGGCACGCTGGGATTCAGTGTACAATGGTGGCTGCTGGCCCGAGTTGGGCAAGACCATGCCCATGACGGCCTGGTTCGGCGGCTGAGTGGGCAGGATGCTTCCTGGATTCAGAATGTTCTGGAGCTCGATTCTAGACGGTGTCGCAGGCTGTGGGGATGGACGGATGACCTTGGGTCGGCCACACCTGGATGGATTTAGCTCTTGGGGAGCTAAAGAAGGAAAGAAATCGGGTCCTTGACTCAAGTGGTGATGGCTGGGGGAGCTACTGGCCCTTACCCCTACACCCTCACACCACCTTTGCTCCCACTGGTCAACCCTACCCAAGTCAAGGCATGTTATGGTGGGTGCGCCAGCTCAGTCTTCCACCTTTCCAACCAGAAGGGGAGCTCACCCAGGACCCTCAGGGATAACACTTTGGCTGAATGAACACACACCCTTCTCCCACCAAGCACAGCAGGGAACACTCTCCTGTCTGGAGCTACCTGGCGCTGTCAACATTCTGATTTATCAGGCCTTTCCTCCTATCTGAGTGGGAGGTCTGCTGAAAGCTGCCCACCATGGTGGCCCTGCTGGTGTTTGAAATCCAGATGGCATCACAGCAACAAGCAAGCCACCACAGCGTGACAAATGGACAGATGAGTGGCAGCTAAGGGGCCTGTCTGTCACACCGGCCTCTTGGAGTCTCCATGATTCCTGCGCCATTCAGACCTGGCCTGTGAGTTCTGAGCTCAGCACTGTGTAAACCAGAGGCCCACCTGGTGCTCAACCTACCCTCTTCCTGAATGACAGGAATTCAATCCACTCCCCTTAGCGGCCCCTTTAGAAACACTGACCCTCACACTTACCTTGAAATTGACTCATATCTTGGGCAACGTATGCATTCTGCTGTTCAGGGACCACTGGCATAATGCCGGGTCTCGGATTCTCCAGCTAAGGAAAAGGAGAAAGGCATATTAGATGACAGCCCTCAAGCATTGGGGTCATTTTGTGTGGGGACCTGGGACTTGGCTTCTGGGGAGCAGAAAGCATGAGTGAATGCACCACACGCGCGCACACACACGCAGGCCCCGCCCTCCTAAGCCAAATTCACAGGTGTAAAGTAGACAGCTGCCCAGACGTGAGTTCAAAATACCAACCAGGAACCCAGGGGGAGCGCTGAGCCATGGGGAGGGGCAGCTGCCCGAGGAGAGTGCACGGTGGTGTGAATGGCCACCTGCTCAGGTGGTCACCACTACAGCAAATGTCACACTCAGATGCATTAATAGAAGCAGAGTAGGTAGGAGGAGGGAGGGGACAGTCCAATGGTACCCTGTCTTGGTCAGTGCTGACGGACGTCAAGGCCACGCTGCCTTGGGGGAGACCCAGACCAGCTGGCTGCGCTGGAGAGACGCCCAGACTTGCACAAGCTGCCAAGGCTGAGACTTGACTGACTGCCAAGCACCCAGGCGCTAACTGGCCCGAGCCGCCTTGGGCAACGTGATGGTAGGTGCCCAGCTCTGCGTGGCTGGGAGAAAGTGCCAAGATGTGCTCCTGGTGGCCCAGACACGAGTGGCAGCTGATCCCACCAACTTCCCTTCGTCCTCCGCACTGGCCGGAGCCGGGGCTGCTGGAAGAACTGCCTGCCTGCACACTCTAAGCCAGTCGGCAGCGAAGCCAAGCCTGGCAGCTGTGAGCCAGCCGACTGAGCGTTACAGGGAGGGGCCCAGCTGGAAGAAGCAGCTGAGGAAGTTCGAAAGCCTGAGAGAGGCCTTCAGGGTCCAGGGCAGACCCACGGGCTCGGCACCCGCAGCCTCAGGCCACCTCCTGGGCCAGGACCCTGCCAGCCATGTCAGGCAGCATGCGCTGTGTCAAGTGGTCAGTTGCTGCTTTTGATACTATTCAGGAAGTGACTGATGTTTTCAGTGGCCAGGAGGAAGGGTGGCTGGTGGGTCCAAGCTCAGGTTTCTCCTAAGTGCCGCCCACAAGGTGTGGCTCTCCCAGGTTAGAGGACAGGCCATCACATGACTCATCTTTACAAGGCTGGCATTGTCATGGCAGAGGTCCTGTTGTGTCAGGATGGTGGGTACAGTGACTGGGCTAACAAAAAAAAAAAGGGGGGGGTCCCCCAGGAACTTCCTGGGCTGTCTTCCTGCCAATTTCCCATGGGTCACAACCCAGGCCCTGGCATGCCTGTTGGCACAGCCATGGGCTCAGCCCTCTCCACAGTCACCCCAGTTCTTATTTCCTGCTTGTCCTAAGTGCCATCACCTGGGTACTGTCCCCTGTGACCATGAAAAAGAAATGGCCCCATTGCTGACTCTGTCACTTAGGTGAAGGAACTTTCTCGTTGGAAAGGTGGTAGACATTGTGAGCCTAGGCTTGAGCCAAAAGGAAGCCCCTGGAGAACTAAGTGAGGTCACGGGGAGTCAGCCAGGTGGCTCATCATGAACCCCAGGAGGCGCCTCAAGAGAAGTCACTTTTGGGGGGAAGGCAAGATGAGGCCAAAGCTTTACAGTACAGAGAAAGCTGGGGGGAGGTGGCAGGAGAAGGCAGGGATGAGTGAGGAGAAGGTGAGGGAAGACGGAGGAGTAAGGAGAAGTGGGAGGAAGGAAAGGGGGGAATGAAGCAAACATGGTGTAGGAGAAAGGGGGTGAGGGCGGGTGGGAGAGGGAAGGAGAGTACAAAAGTCAGGAGAAGGGGGGAGAATGGAAGGAATGGGGGAGCCAAAAGAGAACTAAGGAGGGAGTGGAAGAGAGAAGTGGGAAGGGAGATAGGGAAGAAGGATGAAATTGAGGAAGAGGAAAAAAGATGAAGGAGAGGGAGGGAGGGAGGAAGGAGGGGCACTCCTGGCCAGAGGGCTTCCCCGCATCCCACACCTCCCACAGCAGTGCCCCAAGAGGTGGCAAAGGGTGCCATGGAGGGGACGTCAGTGACTTCTGGTTCGAGAAGAGACAGAGCCCTCAGAACAGCCAATGGCAAGTTCCCTCGGGGCTTTCAGAGCCACTGTGCTCTGCACAGGTGATGCGGGTCAAGGCGAAGGAAGCCTTTGGGTAGGCGGAGGGTGGGCACAAGGCGGCCTGGCTCCAGAGCCCTGAGGGAAGTGGAAGCCCAGGATGGACCCTCCAAGACCACCCTGGGGGTGAGGTGAGCTCTCAGAGCCTGTGCCTCAGTTTCTCTGGAACACCTACAGGGGAGTGTGCCGAGCGCCTGTCCCTGGCATGGTCCCTTTTCCTGTCTGCTGATCCTGCACCAGTGAGCCCACGGATGACTGCTGTTGAGAGCAGCTGTGGCCAGGCCCCGGCCCATGGACATCACTGTGCATCTCCGCCCCCGTGAGAATCACAGCTAAGGGAGGAGCTCGGAGCAGCGATTCACCAAGAACCAGCCGATGCCCCAGTCAGGGCCCAATGCCCACAGGTCCCGAGCGCATTTGGGGGTGGCAAGGAAACTTGGGGAAAGCGAGAAGTGGGAGTTGGGGGGCAGACCAGCCCCTGCGGCCCCTCTGCTCCTTCCGTGGCTCCAGTGGCTTTGTGCTGGGCCTGCCTGGTTCAGCTGCAGTGAATGCACTGAGGGCTTGCAGAGAAGGGGGGAGAAGCGAGCGGGAGGAAAATCAATAGCCCCGTGCACGAAGCACAGCCTATTCCTCGCGGGCAGTGGGGGCGAAGGCAGAATTTCCATTAAAGGCTTGATTCGAGGAGGCCTGTCAGGACAGTGGCCATATTCTGATCGTTAGCACTTAGAAATATTCTCTTCCGGGTCTCAGGGAGTCCAGTGACATTTCAGGTGTCAGCCCAGTGCCACTGCCCCCCTAGAGAATTTATCCATTTTCCTCAGTAAACATCCCAAATTTCCCTTTAACATTTCGAAGTTTAGATGTCTGGGACTCTGGGACCAAGATCACTTAGCTGTTTCTTGGAGTTTGAATTTAATTACAGAATTAAGTTCAACTGGTAAATTGCTACTTTGCCTAAAGGAAAACAAAACAACCCAATAGCACAAAAAGGTAAAATCTATAATGTTTAAATCAATTCAAGAATAATTATCTTTTTTTCCTGCAAAATTAATTCCAGTGAGTAAGCAGGTGTGCTTGCTCTTTGCTGCCTGGGCCCAGAAATCCCACCAGGCTGCCAGACAGACAAAGTGGGTCTGAGGACTCTCCCAAGAGCCCCACAGGGTGGGACAGAGAGGATATGCTTCCAAGCTTTCTGGAATCCGAGAAGCTTGTGGCCCTTGGGTGTTCTCAGTTTCCAGAAAGTTCCCATTGTCTCAAGGTGATGACAGTTCCCATGTATTGAGCTGAGGAACTTAATGGGTTTTCTCCCATGTAAACCTATGGCAAGCCTGGAAGATGGTACCATGATGAAATTTACATTACAGGCCAGGAAAAGAAGGGTCAGCGAAGGAAAACGACTCGGCTAAATCCACACCCCAGCACTTCTCGGAAGGACTTGGGGTCTGAATGTTCCTTACCCACGAGGACGGTGAGGCGCTGCCTCGCACACGCTGGGTGTGTTAGCAGGAGAGGACAGACCCCGGAGAAAGACACCATGCTTGGTAGAATGGAGGGTCAGGAAAGAGGCCGGCCCTCATTCTCTGTGGCCACCCCTGCTCTGCTAATTCTTCAGCGGGCTTCCAAAAGGGACCTCCAAATTGCTGTCACATTCTCTGACTCTACTGGTGTGGGCAGCTGTGGGCTGGAGGAGTCCCTAACAGACCATTTCCAAGTGTGTGAGGAGGCAGGGAGCTGGAGGCTCAAGTCTGCAGAGGAGGCCGGGGATGGCTGGTGGATACGCTCTGGGACGATCAACCACTGACCTCTGCACGCTGCTTCCAACTCGTCCTTTCCAAACGGCTTTCATGCCCTGTTTTATTTTGCTTTCAAGCTGTAATCCTACCCTTTCTCTGCCAAGGTGAATGGGGTGTGGTCAGAAGTCCCCAGAACCCGGGAGGCTAGCTCCACACTGTCCAGGATGTCCCAGTACCTAGAGCAACACTGAGTCTTCCCGATCTTGGGACCTCCCTATAGGTGGCCTCACTTCTCCCACTGCAGCCCACGTTTAAACAGAGCCACATGGTGGACATGTGGTCAATACTGGCAGGACACCGGGAACAGTTCCCAGGGGCTTCTGGGATAGCAGCCTCCTCTTTCTCTGACACAACTTTCAGGAGCAACCATCCTGCTCCCAGGATGAAGAAGGGCCCCGGAGATGGTGGTGCTCTTGTGTGCCCACAAGGGGGAGCTGCCCTAGGTGGCAGAAGGAAAGAAAGCGCATCCTCTGTGCTAGTGTTGAGCTACTGAATCAAAGCAAACCTGAAGTCATCTACAGAAGCCAGTTAGCCCCTCTCATTGTTATTAAGCCATTTGAATGCTTAGTTTTTGCACTATGTGCTCAAACACAATTGTTATAAAACAGAGGCTGGCCTCTTTTAACTGGGAGCCAGTGAGGTCTGCATTCCACTCCAGATTCAGGCTGTTACTTACTATTTAGGTACCATTAAGCGGACTTGATGAACAATAGACCGGAACCTTGTGCTACCTGTCCCATGCCATCCTCCCCATCTCTGAAACCTGAGCCCACTGTTGAGCTCTGGCCCTGAAGAGGTCTGAGCCATATTTTCAGAAAGCTCACTTAAAGATTTTAAACTCAACACAACTGCTTTCAAGGAGGTTCAGATATTGCAAACTTGGGCTCCTTATTCAGATCTAAGTGCTGTACTCAAGCTCTTAAAGACTGCATCTTACATCAGTGGAATGACATACACAGTGCAGCAGCAACAATCTAGCTTAATAGCATTAAGAATTTCTGGATCATATTCAATTCCAATGCAAACTCAAATATGTACTTTTGTGGCCTGTGGAAATAAACCTGAGAAACTAAACTGAAGTTCATGTAAGAAAATAGACAATGCACCATGCTCCTGAACGT